TTTGGATCCAGACACAAATCTCCCAGCTTACAAGACTTCAGAGGCCGCCTTACAAGCAGAAAGGAATCCAGAGAAGTATCATACACATTTTGCTATGAACTTCAAGAAATTCCGTTTTTCTGCAAGGATTGTGTGGTATTTGATTGACCGTGACAGGAATCATTTAGAGAGTTTTCTTCACAACTCCAACAGTAGATTTGTGCAACATGCATGCTATCAACTTCGTGAGTATGTTCAGGCGCGTGTTGCAGTTTCTGATCCCTTGTATGAGATGATCAAGAAGGAAGAGTTTGAACGCCAATACAATTCCAAGTTTTTGGAGGCGATTTCTTGCTCTCGTGTTGTAGTTGAGCCTGTAAGTTCAGGGACGTATGAGCCATCATCGAAGCTGAACTTAAAGGTACTACAAGACATCCTGAAGGGTATCTTCAAGATCCAGAAGGATGAGGAGCTTGCCAAGGAACGTGATGAAGAAGAAGAACAGGCAGCTCAAAACATCTCATACCTGTTGGCAGATGATATGGAGCTTGATTTTGATGATGATGATGTTCCAGTATGGCGCTCCATTGTCGACAAGTATAGAGGAGGTGATCAGGTGCTACAGGGAGAAGCTGTGAAGATTACTCACCTGTTCAGGGATCAAAAGGACAATGAGAAGGCGACAGAAGCTTTCAGTTCAGAGAGGACAGATTTTTATGAGACCTCAGGACCTCTTCCAAGAACCGAGGGAGAAAATCTTGTAGAGGACTTGCTCACCAAGGATGTTGCAGAACAAGCTTTTGAAGCAGGTGAAGAAGTTCCTCCTTATACAAGAGTCTCCACTATCGCTGGTGAAGTTTATACTGGAAGTATGACACTTCTGGAAGATGAGGATATGGAAGAGGAAGTTCCTGAAGAAGATCCTGCAGTTGAACCTGGAAAGGAACAAGAAATATTTGACGAAGATGCAGGTGTTTTTCCTTCAGAGGAACTAAAGATGGAAGTTGACCAGGAGGAAGCCAAGGAAGAGTCAACACCACACTTTCTGTCAAGAGAGATAGGTGAGGACTCGACTGCATCGCACTTACCATCAGGTGAGATGGATGCAAACTTTGATGATAATTCAGGTCAGCGGAAATCTAAGAAAAGCCGCCTGAATAAGATTCCTGATCCTCATTTTCATGAAGAAGTTCAGGATGATGCAACCATGGAAGAGAAGAAAGAGGCGGTGGAGAAAATAAAAGAGGTCAGAGAGGATGATGGAGAGAAGAAATTGGAGGCTGAAATCCAAGAATCTTTTCCATCTGAAGTAGTTGTTGAAAAGGATACAACAAAAGCTGACAATACCTATGAGTTGCATACTTCACCTTTGAAGTTGCTTGGAGAGCTTACAGGAGATCCAGGTATTGGCTTTTATCAACTATGCTTCAGGGAAACTCATGCAAGATTGCTGAATCATGTTTGTTTCAGAAAAGGTGAGATTTCCCATCCTCATTATCAGTCGAGGATCAACGAGAATGATTTTGTTCGATCCATTCGCAATATCTGTCCAGTACCTCCACCTGATTGTTATGAACATGAACCAGAGCATGATTTAAAGAGATTCTTTATCAATGATGATCGCATCATTTATTTGGATGGCAAGTATCAGGTCGATCCAAAGGCCCTTGAAAGGGCAGGTCATGCTCGAGAAGAATTGGAGGATACGAAAAAGGAACTCAAGAAGGAACTGGAATCATATGGTCCCAAGGGACCCAGTTGGGACTTTGTCACCTTCTATGAAGAGCTGTGCAGAAGGTTCCTCAAGGGAAGAATAGAAGAACCATATGGAACTAATTTATTGGCCAGCTCAGAGTCCTTGACATTTTTATCCTGGAACTATGGCAACATGGTTCGTGGTCAGAAGTACACCACACCAAGGTTTCTCCAAGGACTTGATAGTGCAATGAGGCCACGCAAACAGAGCGCCATGTCACTTCAGAATGAGCAATTTGAGAACAACCTTTTCTTCAACATGCTCTTCTTTTTACGTGCACATGTCGTGATTCTCCAGGAAGCTCATCTTCTTGTTCCTGCCAAGGAATTTATTGAGCAAAAGAATTGGACAGTTTGTTTCAATGATTGGGAGAATCTTGCAGTGATGGCTAGATTGGCACCAGGTGGATATGTCAAGATCATTGCTGGACATGATCAAGAACTTGGTCACTGTGAACAGCGTGATGTAACTTGGGCTATCTACGAGATTTGTTTTGGAGAAACAAGGCCTCGTCAAGATTTCAAGGATGCAGACTTTGAATTTGATGACTATGGTCCTGAGGACAAGCGTGTTCCACTTACTCGAGCGAACATGCATACCATCAGAGTCTGTAATTATCATGTTGATACACACCGTGCTGTGGATGCCCACCTACTGACAGGAGAACAGACAGCATTGATGCTTTACGAGTGTTTTGTCTATGAGGTGGACATCATTTCTGGTGATGCAAATAGTTTGGCCTACAGAATGTCTGGGTACAAAAGGCAGCCAATGGCTAACTACTATTACAGCACCATGCAGCATTGGATCCGCAGGTTTTCAGAAGCTCGTGTCAAAGCAGATCCGGGTATCAAAGCACCTATTCCCAGAACATTTTACAGTTCAACTTCACAGGTCCTCAAGAATTGTGAAGATTACTTTGACAAACTCTGGGAAGAATATTCTACTGTTGAAAAAGAAGAATACCAAGGATCAAAGCTTGGCGATACATGTTTGTCTACCATTGTTGAATGGGGTCATTCACTGAGTGAAGAGGAATATGAAAATTCCACAGTGAGTACGAAGGAGTTCATCTGTAATTTTTCAGAGAACTTTGCTATGATTGACACGGAGGTTATGTGCTCAAGGCCCACTGACGAGGACAGTCATGGTCCAATGTTTATTTCACTCAGACCAGCTTCCTTTTCATCTGGAGACAGAAGACAGTATCGCATGGGACCAACTCTTCATGAGGCGAACTTGCGGAGGAAGGAGAGACAAAAGCAGAATAAAAGGAAAGGAAGGCCGCCAACTTCTGATCAAGCAACTTCATCGTTTGCAGCGGCATAATTCCTGAGCGAAGGCTGAAATTTAAATGATGGCTAGGAAGTGAAGATACTTCTGGTTACAGTTGATACTTTGCTTCCAGGCTTGACTTTAAGTTGCCAGGCTGAAGTTTTAATAAATTCTGGTTTGCAATGAGGAGAAACTTTTTATCAAAGAAATACTCCTGCATTCCAGGTTTATACGCTTTAGCATGCAGATAGGTATGGACAGTTTTGCATAACTGATGATATCTATCACAGCCGCTTTTTCTGAGATGACCTCTAATGGACAACCATTCATGGTTGATGATTAAGTCATTTCATAAGTCTGCATTTGTAGTGCAAGTTTTGTACATACATTTGCCGGTATCTCCTTCTTGTGTTTTTGATGTGAATGTGAAAGAGAGTCCTTTTGATGCAGTTTATTTTGTCTGTGAATGAAAGCGGTCGAGACCACGTCACGAGAAGATTATTCCTCGGACCGTACGCTCCTTGCATTTTGCAAGGCATCTTAATTCATTGCATTGTGCGGTCTTGAATTTTTAGTTCTTTGTTACGCGAGTGTCGTTTGATTCTTTTATAGGTCTCTGTAGAGAAAAAGCCGCTTTCCCTTTTAGTTTGATTTAGCTCAGGCCATAAAGAGCTAGTGAGCGCCGGTACATGGTATTTCCGCCTGCGAAAAGTACAGTCTCCAGCCGAGGTACATTATCGATTTGATTTTGTACTTGAGGTGAGTCAGCTATTGCTCCCTCACTGTATTTAGTAGCTATGAGATTACCTTCTCTGAAGTGTGAAACACACTGGATTAGGTAAGTACATGGCACCGTAGTTTTCTTTTAAGTTGTCAGAGCTAGCTGGACTGTTTTAGCCTTGCAGTAGAAAAAGAGTATGCGACATACGCAATCAGCTAGGAGTGGACATGAATCTTGTGCCTGCTGAAAAGTAGAGCCTACCTGTACAGGGTTCCACTCCAACAGCCGATATAGTGTGTCCATGCTTGACTGCTTCAAGGCTCAAAGAGCAAGAGGATAAGACTCTGCGCATAAAAGACACTAGCGGTCTGCACCTCTACCGTGTACGCCCTAGTCACTCTTTCACCCCCCCCCCCTAATAAGGAAACCTCGGTCGCATTTTTTCTAATAGGGGGTCCCTGAAATCGGGGGGCCCAAAATAGGGTCACCTGGAAAGAGTTTCAAAACCAAAAAGTAATCCAGGTAAATTTTATATAAAATCCTTTATTAAACTCATATCAAAAAATGCAAAAAACCGCCAGATCGAAGGGTCTTCCTTTTCCCCTACAAAAACCTTCATTAGAATAGTGATTCTTCAGTAGACTAACAGCTAAAGCTTTCGAAAGGTGATGTCGCTGTGCCATGCGGTGTTGCATGACCTCGGTGGCAAGTGCGTTTGCGTGAGTCCGTGCCATTGAGGGAAGGAAAGCCTGCTGGTGTAAGCGCGGCGTGTCATGGTGGAGTTTTGGGGAACCTAATTAAAAAAACTACCCCCCAAAATCGACCATGTTGGTAGTTTAGTAGCGGTTTGAAAGGGCGGCAATTTAAAACCAAATATAAACCGAATTTAGGGGATCCGGCATGACTTTTTTTTAATTGGGGTCCGTTTTTAAATAGGTACTCGGGATTAATAGGGTCATGATTCATTTTTTATACTTTGGAGGGTCCGGGATATCCGGATAGAAGCGGCTGTTTGGTGCGAACGCATGGAAATCTGACATGGGATTCCAGTGGAAATTCCACAAACGTGTCTGAGTCCTTAAGTGTGAAGGAGAAGGTGAGCTGCAGCAACCAAAAAGGCTAAGGTGATCCCAACCAAGAATTTGAAAGGATGGGATTCTAGCAGAGATGTTGTCCTTATCATTTCATGGACGAATCCTCTGCGATCCATTCTTGTAATGACCACACATCGAGGCCATTGCCCTCAAGAACACCGACCTTACTGCCTGCATGTCCTCCGCCATCCTCGATGCTTGGGGCGTCGAGCCTCGCGAGCAGTCGCGCTCGCGGAGCTCGCTGGGCTCCAGCGTGTGCCCCAAGTGCCTTGTGACTTGGTCCAACTCGATCCCAGTCGAAGTCGACCGAAGGTGGGGCTCCAAGGACGGCGAGTGGTCGACGAACGTCGACGAACGTCGACTCGGGCGCTCGGTGGGGCCCCAGGACCATGTTAGATTTGAAGGTAGCAAAGTCGGGTCCAGAGTCCAGGTACTCATCAGGCACACACTCAAGGATCAATGGATTGGTTTGATCATGGGAACATCTACAGGAAACCATCATATGTTTCACTCCAAAATTTTGGGTGTCCTAAATGTAGCCTTTGTAGGTAACATAGTGGACAACCTAGCCGGATCTTGGTGGAGTTGTTTAGCCTTGCAGGGCAATGATGTTCTTCATCCATGTTTTGTGTACATGCTCCTGACTTTTGATCGGATCATTTTCAAGTACCTGGAGTCTCAAAGTACCTTGGAAAATGGTATACAAGTACCATACAAGTACCTACATTGAAAGTCGTAGAACGTGTGGCCCGACTGAATAGGCAAGGAAAGCCCTGGAAAGCCAGGTACTCCAGGGTCGGGGACACTAGTCATCGGTCCAGGTACTGTTCTGTTCCCAATTTGTTTGGAAACAAACCCCAGAATTCCAACCACCATTGATTTAACAGCCCTTACCTTTACGGAACAACATCCAACAACCATTGTTTAACTAAAGATTTTACAACCAGGTCAACCATTTTGTTGATGGTCGAACGAAAGGCTATGGCCAACAAGCATCGCGGTCTCTGTGGTCAACCTCGAGGGATGAAAAACAAGTTGGGTCCTTGACAATCAGGGGTACGAAGTTACTACATCATACAATACAGACTACAGCATATGTTGATATATTCTGTGTATATATTTGAAGTTGGATACCCCAACACTAAACATCATCGGCCATTTGTAGCCAATCCTCACTGCTTGAACTGGCGACCGCCAATCAAGTGGGAGAATCCCGGCGGTACGGAGCCTCCGGTTCGTCACGAAGATGAGACATTGTTCATTCACAAAAAAGGAAAGATGGACAGGTATATAACCCTACAGGTCCAGTCTGACTCAGTAAAACCTGGTCCTGGTAGTGTTTTACCCTCTTGATGAATCAAAATACATCAAAATACCACACCTCCTGATGTGCTCAAGCCTCTTCAGGCCTGGCTGGGTGAAATAGAATCAGTTTGGGTATTCTGTTTGGAATCGGACCATGCCGGAGAGGGAATGTCTTCTGAGGAAGCGCCCTGTCCCAGCAGCGACATGGCCTGTGTGGAGGGCCTTTGTGCTCCAGCGCGGAGACCAAGCCACGTCATTTTGGCAGCGACCTGCAAAAAGTCAGAGGCAAACGGAAGGGTAGTACACAGAAAGAGTTTTGCAAAAACCTATTCTACTAACATCGTGGAAGGCACGGGACATTCGTGGAACCCGGGCTATTCGTGGACGTTTCGTGGAATGGTGGGCCAGTAGGAAAACTGACTGCAACAAAATCCCAGAAACCTTCGTAGAACATCGTAGAAGGTATTTTTGATGCACTAACTTCGTATAAGCAATTTTGGCCGACCCCCTTTCTCCACACACCCTCCGTTGAGCCTTCAAAATGATACTTGTGTTATTGTACCTCGTACCTTGTCTTAAGGTATGACTGGACCCCAAGCGGATGCAAACCCAAGTGCAATGGCGTTTTTGTCCTTAAGACGCTCACGAGTTGGGTGTTTTTCTGCACGCATCAACTGATGCTTTGATCTCACTCACCGGCCTTCTCTATGTTGGTGCTGGCCGTAAGAGTGGGGTCTTGGATGATTCCTTTGCAGTAGTAACTCTTGCATTTGTTTCTTGTGAGGACTCCATTTGTTTGGATGGTTGCGCGCGTGGTAGTCGTAGTATATACAACTATATAAATGGTTTGGACTAATGGATCTTTTGGATTTTCATGGATGTTCCCTTCTTTCGGCCTAGACATTGAGGTCTTTGGACCCGCAGTTACCGAGAACCCCATAATCCAAGTACTGAGGACTCATGTCATATATATACAGTATATATAAGTGTTGTGCTGGATTGCGCGCCTAACTCTCCGCAGCTGGCGCGTTCCTCTCAGAGAAGCTTAGCTTTGCTTTCCAGCTTGGCTTTGCTCTTGGAATGTCTTCCGTCTCCGTGTGGAGATCGGACTCGATGGGGTGATCTGGCTTGGCTGGCGCCGGGAGATCACGGAAACCACCAGGGTCAGGTGATGCTTTTCTCCTTTTCACGCTGGTGCCATGCGGCCTGGTCACATGTACATGTCACAGCCACCCATGGCATTCCAGGTTCACCGAATGATCACGACTAGGTGTGCTGTGCCATCCGGATGTGTTTATCTCAGGTGGCCTATGGCTTTATTCACATGGGTAGGGCGATGTGGCCCAAAGACGCTTTGAAACTTGAGCCAGGCGGGGGGGCCCAGACACGCTGTGGGTGGGTCACACTCACCTTACTACTTCCTGCTTGGGTGGTTTTTGGTTGTTGGCTTCCTATACTCTGCATATAGAGGTCTGTGTGAGCTACAGGCTTCGGCTTTACATCACTTTTCCCCGCCCCCGCGGGTTTTGGCGCTCTTCGCATGTACATGTTCGCTAATCCGAACATTACTGTACACTGCCTAGAACTAACATTGAAGTGGAGAATGGTCCCTACAAACAGGGGGTTGTCCACTTCCATGTTAATTGCAGGGAGAGTAACTACATCACCAGCAGTTACATGCAGATCACCAGACCCAGAGATCGCTTCGGACTGAGCTCCGGAGCCTCGGATTAGCCCCGGCCCTTGTTATCTCGGCGAATCTCTGAGAGGGGCACTGCAGATAGGCCCTCCAGTTGACCAAGGGCACATGACTCCAACAAAAAAGCGTACCACTGGGCCCCTGTTTTCGTTACGGCGTTACGGCATTTTCTTGCAGTGTGTTTCATTGTTTTGGCATTTTGGATACTGCATCCAGAATACTCGGCATCCCTCATTCACTGGAAAACATTGAACACCTTAAGCCTTAAGACCAGCCAAATCTGAAAATGCACAAGAATTCCGATCATTCCTGTGTTGGAGAACTCATCAGCCGGCAGATACATAGTGCAACTGAGCCCTGCATCGTCACCTGCTAGGTGCAGAGAGTTTTCATTCGTGCGCGGACCTGTGTGATGATGGGAACTGCACGGGCTTTGTGATGGAAGACCGGAAGCCTCTCGAACGCAGTTGGACTTTCCAGTTGGTCCTTCTTCACATCCATTTTCGCTACGAACTGGAGGTGCCGAGAAACGAAGACATGAGGTGTCTATCAATGGTCCCAAAAAAGAGCTTGACGGGAGTCCATTGCTGTAACTATCATCATTCGATTGTGGGTCCTGGTATTTGCATGTGAGTGCACACAAGGGACATACCTAGATGTATGCACAGAGGGCATACATATACCACACTTACGTTTGGGTTTGAGACGCCTGTTGTATCGAGCGTACAGTAATAGAGTGCTTACTACCAAGTTTTATTCGTAAAGTGGCCCGACACTAGAGGCTTGAATGAACTTTTTCAAGACTGGGCTCCTACCACGGCGGGTTGTCAGCATGCCAGCGGTTCGCCGAAAACGGCCACGGATCGTCAGGTGTTATCTCACTTGGAGCTCGGAGCAGCCGAATCACCAAGAAGGCCACTTCGACCGCCGAAAACAGCGCATAACAGCGCACATATGCAGCTTTCCGCTAAGGTGTTCTGTAGGTTTCTTGTGCAAATATGGATCTCAGGTGGTTTGTTCTGTTCGTTCACGCTCAAGATTGGCTTCCACTGATTGCTGTCTACCATACACCCATTGTCAACCATTGGTGGCTTGCCTTGCTGCACAACGGGTGCTGCGATGCAAATATAGACGCTGTCACCATACATGAAGTCTCAGTTCGTACCTCGGAAGATGGGTACGAGTACCTGTTTTTGTGGGGTCATGTCCCATTTGCTGTTGCTAAGGTCTAAGGTACTTTGGAGGGTCCAGGCTCCAGGTACTTCTTCCACGGCAATCCCAGCACGATAGTTTGCAGGTTGTGCTGGTAACTACCTTTCTACCTTACTGGGTTTAGTCTTACCTTCTTACTATTTCGATCGATATATTTCGACATGCCGGGAGGACGATGATTTGTGTGGTCAACAAAAACAATGTCCATTGTCCATTTAAGCGCGATTAATACCTCCCACGGGCAAAACATATGAACTAGGGCCCGAGCTTTATGGTGAGCCACAATTTAATTCGCCAACGAACCTTCCCCTGCTTGAACCAGGCAGCAATGAAATCCGTGATCATCCATATGCGGAATGTACTTGCATGATCCCGCAAATGAGTCTGTCATTCATTAAGGCTCTCCTCCAGATTGGGATAGAAATGGATAGAAAGGAATGGCTTTGCAAACCAGCTCCCGGCTTGGGCGCTCGTTTTGGTTCGACATGTTTTTCAACAGAAACTATACGAGAAAACATGTTCGTCGACGTTCGACATGCGCTCATGCGCTCAACGCTTTTTTTTCAACAAAACCACGTGACACCGTCCTTGGAACCAGGCTCCGGTGACGACTTCAAGTTGGCAGCCTTTCAGAAGGCACCGGGTCACCGGGTCACCGGCGAGCGAACGCAGTCCGAATGTTCGGAAGAAGTCGGGTGGACACCGATGGGCACCGGGGGCGCAAGCGCCCGGTGCCAGAACGGTTGGATGTGAACTTCCGTGGGGAAAACAGATCAAGGGTGCCCGATGTTTTGACGCATGAGCCACAGCGCTAGCCCAGGCTAGCATTGTGTATTTCATGGGTTTCTGGAATACTGTGGGATTGGGATGAACTGGAGTTTTGGACATTGTGTATGACGAAGCATTGATTGATGAGGAAGGAAGATTAGTGGTCGCGCCCTGGGTCCCGATCAATTTTCCAGTCTTTTGGCTGCCATTTCCTGAGAGCTGTTTTCCAGGCTCACAGCCCAGGATGCCTTTCAGGCTTTTGTCCTGTCAAGCTTTGGGTTTGATATTTGTGCTCAATTTGGATGATGATCAGCCCATACTAGCACCCGTGTTAAGTCGTCTGGTCTTGTAGAAAGTCGTTTGGATGCTGCGTTTACATTGGGGTTAGATGCAAGATGGCAATATAACTGGAAGAGTATATAAGGTCAACAACATTGTTTGGATGCTGCGTCTACATGCGGTTTAGGTGCAAGATGTCAATCTCATTGGAAGATAGGCTTTGGAATATCAGTTCAACACCATTCAACAAACATACTTCCGTAGAGCGTTTACATGGTGCTATTTAACATAAAACAGGTTGACTTTTTGCAAGCTGGGTGACTTTTGACTAATGCTGCGTTTACATGCGGCCGGGTGACTTTCTGCAAACCTGGGTGACTAAACCTCGACGTATCAGTTCTTTACAAGCTTGTTTTCGCCCTGAAGGGAGCTGTGCTCATTCTAGCTGTGCAAAACGATCGCTTTCAAGTTGATAGCAATTGCAAACCATGGCAGATGTAAAGGTCATGTGTCAAAGATTGTCAAAGTATGTCAACATGTTCCACAAAGTATCCTCCAACAGGTGCTCCCTGTTGATAACGGGTCCCCCCAAACCACCTGTTGTGCTGGGGTCCAAAAACAGCCAGTTGGAAGGTCAAAGTGTCCATTCCATAGGGATACCCATGTTCCAGATAAGAACGCAGAGCTTTTTCATATGCTACGAGCCTTCAACCAACACGATGCACTAGAAGAAATCGACTTTGACCTATAGCCTAATTATATGTGGAAGTTTCTAGCACATCTGCCACATCTAAGACTCCTACCAGCAGGGCAGGACAGCTTTGGTGGAAAAAATTGGTTCCCAGCAACATCCCGCAAATATCATGCTAAGTACTTTCACCTCCTTTAAGCTACGATAGGCCGATAGGCTAAGCCAGAAACTACCCCAAGTGCCCACTACGCGGCTTACTTGAAATAAAAGACACATTGGTTCATTGTGGCATCCTCTTTTTTCACTGTGCTCAATGTGCTCCAACCTCGTTTCATTCCCCAAACACTCCATACATGGGACTGGTCGTGGTGATTCTTGGTGATTCGTGGGTTTCAGGGAAAACCTGTGTGTACCTGGACCCTTCAAAGTGCCCTATATTGCTATTAGGTTGGAGACCATCGCTCTTGGTTTGGAGAATCGCTATTAGCTTGGAGGTTTGTTGAGTTTTCATCGAAGACTCGACCAGGGCCCAGACAATCAATGTACCAACAAAGGGAAGGAAGAGATGCCTACATTGACCCCAGGTCAACCACCCCAATGTAGCGACTTCATAGGCCAGTCCCATGGATGGTCTGGCCATCCGTCGTGTTAGAGCCGATCCTTCCGGATGGACGTCCAGGCCACGTGTGCGACCTTTTCCTGCCCGGTGGGCAGTGAGCTGGATCCCGAAGTGCTGGGGCAGTCGGTGGATGAAGCGACTTGCTGCTTTGGCAGCAGAGATGGCAGAAGATGGACAACGATGTGAGCAAAAAGAATCCAAACACTCCCATGGCACTGGAATATTTGCCCACATTTGAGTGATGTACACTCCGACTCACTAACATAAAAGTAGGAAAACCCCCTTCGTAAAGGAAAGTAGTCTTCCAAGGGGCCGTTTTCTATATACCAGCACCCTCCAACAGGTCACCACCTGCGACTTTCAAGTCTGCAAAAGCCAGCAGAGGAGACCCGTTGGAGGGTCCTGGTAGATGTAGCATTGTGTGATGTTGTTTGTTTTCTTTTGGTTGATTGATATTCCTGGACTGGACCCAACTTTGTTCGTACCCTTGACGAACATTGTCCGAGGTACAAATGGGCCAACTCCAGGAAATTCCAGTTGCGAGTGATCCACATACCTTCTCAGGTTCAGTACGACTGAACCTCACTTCGCCTCAATTCCACCTTCCCATTTGCATGGCCCCTCCATAGGTCCTAGGTAGTTGGAGTGCCTCAGCCGGCGGCCATGGAGGATTTGCCCGGAGACCGGTCTTTGATTCGACACATGGAGAGCAGACATGTGTGGGTCACCACTGGGCGTTGGTTTAAGATACATAAGACGTATACGGGTATACGTTTATATTATAGGTTTATACAAAACAATACTTGTGATGATGATTGACCCCACTGGCTCATATTTTTCAAGTGAGTCGAAACCACCCACTGGACCAATGAATTGATGCAATTCCAAGCCACTTGCTATTCCCTATCGATCCATTGCCACCCTCCTATCGAGGGGGAGGCATGGTGAGACACGTATGTAGGACAAGTATGACGATGTGATGTGAGGGTCCAAACACCTTCTAACGCCTTCTAAGGAGGTACCAGGACCTTCAAGTGACCTTTTGAGATCCCAGAATGAGGTCACGAATCGTCCCTAAAGAGCTCACGACTTGGAGACTCCAAAAAGGAGGTCACTGACTGAAGGTCCTGGTACTTGGATTGGTGGATTGTGTATCGTTTTCGTTTGGTGCGTGGTTCTTCCAGTCATTTTGCTGTTTTTCTTCCTATGGGTTTGGTCCGAGGCTGCAAATGCTCGAAGCCAGGATGGGTGAAGGACCTGGCTTCGCCGGTTTTCGACCACGGGGGTAGGCTGAGGGCTGCCTGGTGTTGGCTCCATGTTCCAAGTTACCCCTACTAGCTGAATCTATGCTGGCGCGATTCCAGAAGCGACAGCTCCGGTGAATGAGAGTTCTCGTCATATTCCCGATACAGGAAGGTTGGGAGCTACAGTAGGGAGTTCCCCAACCCTTTGCTAACCGTGTGTATTAGACTAGGGCGACCCCTTGGGTTCGGTTCCGCACATAGACCAGTCTAGCTAGCCAGGGGCGAGATTCTGGGGGGTCTCCCTATTCAAATCCCTATAGGGATCCAATATGATCCTTCTTGGAAGGTGATTGGAGACATTCTTATATAGGTTTGTAGGGTCCAGTCGTACCGAACCTGAGGTTCGGTACGAAAACGGAACCCTTTTCGGGCAATTTGCACACCACCTGTGCTTCTTCTCTCCAAGAGGTTGCTCCAAGAGGTGGACCCTGTCCAGATCGTGAGGAGTCGAAGATGTCAATTTGATGTTTTTGCTCGGACCCAAGAGGTAGAGGATTCAATGCTTCAAAGGATGCGACTTGGTTTACTATGCTGAAATGATATCATGATCGTCGAGTGAACGTCGTAAGTTGAAGAAGGTGACATTCATTTGCTTTCAGAAGGAGGGAGAGATCAGCAGGAATCCTTTGCTTATTTATGTGTGTTTTTTTGTTTTAGAGTGAACAAACTCAGGCGAACTTGTGACATCCCGTTTCAACTGTTTATTCAAAAAGAAGGTCAAGGACTTCATTGAACCCAATCTTATTGATCCATATTTGTTTGTTTGTGACAGAAGCTCCGCTCCGGATGTGAGAAAGCCCAACCGGTCAGCTGAGCCGATCAAGCACTTCGAACTTGTTACTCTATGCATGGAGCCTCAAGTAGACTAGGGTCACCGTTTGTTTGGTTGTGACCTCGATGCTTGGAGCCTCAAGCTTGACCAAGACTTGGAAGCTCATCCAACTGCCGACCACATGGCCTCCATCTCCCCAGACCCTCCGGGTCAGTGAGAACCCAGAGGATTTGCGCTTTGCACCTGCCTTGCAGTGCCAGCAATGTCCTTTGGGCCACGTGCCGAGCGCGGTGAACGCCAGTCGCTGTGAGCAGTGCCCTGCGGGAAGCTATGCGCAACCGGGGTGCTGCGGTTCGCAAAGACTGGGGAGGGTAGGGAGGCAGCGCTGAGGTGTGATGAGGATCCCTTTTTCATCCTTTTTCGGTGTGCAGGACTGGTCTAACTTGGGAATTCGCATTGATTCCCTTTTCAAGCATCCCACATGTGGATTCCATACCAGCACCCTCCAACAAGTCACCAATTGAGACCTCCAACAGGGCCTAGCAACTCTCTTTTGGAGACCTGTTGGAGGGTGCTGGTATGTTGATCATTTGATCATCCTGGTAACCATCAGCCACTTTTTGGGGTAGTGATGGCACTGTTGATGGGCAAATTGCTATACTTCCTCAAGAAACCTGCAAATACGCCACGGGCACCCGCAAATCATCCACAAAACCAGATGTTCACCATCGAACATCCGTCTTTGTGTTGCTTTTCATACCTAGTCAGTGGACTAACAAAAGCACTTTTGGGGTGATTGTTTTTCCTTGGATTTCCGGGAAGCTGGAGTCTGTTTTGGTTGCTCAGCTGCTTCCGCCTCAAGTTCTAGTGCTCCAACGCCTTCCTAGGCGACTGAACCCTACAAGACGGGTGTTTGACGCCGTTGTCGACCCTTTTGGTAGCCTTCCCTGAATCAAATGCACAGTCCAGGGGTGACAACGCCCACGTGTTGCTTTTGCCCAGTGTTTTTGCCCAGGGATCAATTCTACTGAGAGTCCACACGTTGTGTGTTTGTCGCTTTGGCCGCCACAATGTCATCCCAGTGTTCAATCACGGCAACAAAAAAAGGCAGCAGGATCATGACATCCAGCGCCCACTGCAGCAAACCTTTGAACCCATTAGTTGGTTCATGAAACAACGATGAAATGCATGAAGCAAAGATGAGAATTTGCTATGCCACATCCAGGAAATCTTGCGGCTAACGTGGAGTGAAGTTCAGGATCATGCATTTTCCCCACAACATAGACCTGTCGAGGAAGGTAAGATGAAGACAAAGTGCATGAAACAAACATGAAGATGACGCGTGTGAAGCGGAGATGAAGAAAAAACATCCATATCAATAAGCAGAGATCAAGATGAAGTTCATGCAACGAAGACGTCATGACTGTTGTGTGGTCACATTCAACAACGTTAGTAATTTTAAGGACCATTTATTTTTTATCCTTGAAGTGCTGTTGCTTGATGGGTGGGAGTGCGGGTAGCTGGTATACCGTATGCCCTCCAGGTCGCACTTCCAGCACAAACCCGCTTGATGACCTACTTCCGCGAGGTACTAACTGACAGGTAGGGAAGTCGAGAGGGTATGTGGATCCATAGAGTTCCATGATTCTTGGCACATGCATTTGTCAACAGGAACCACGGAGTCCATCACTCGAGACGTCTCGTTTTTTTTTGCCTGCACCTGGACCCGACTGGTCGGTCGTACCTTAGAAAACGGAACATAACCCCATTAAAAAGCGTGGGTATACTTGCACCCATTTTCTAAGCTACGAACTGACTGAGACTCCAGGGCAATTTGGGGGACAAAACCTGGAGTCCTGGCCCACCAGCGTGCCAGAAACATCCTTCCGCGACATGCACTCAGGTTTGCCGAGTGCCACCAGTGTGGACCTGGAATCTGGGAGGAAATTCATCTCACAGGGCTTCAAACTAAGCTGATCCATGGCAATCTGTGGATAGTAGCCAGTGACCGGTATTCCATATGAGCTCATATCCTGACACTCAATATATATGGTCTATGCATGTATATGCCTACATTAACCTTTACCTTACCATCCTCCATGTAGGCGCCCAGGCTCTCAATCAGCGCGTGTGGTGTCCTGGGATGGGACCCAGCGTCAGACAACACCCCTGCATAGCTCGGCTTCGCCGATCAACCCTTTGTTGAGGCTCCACACCATTCCCAAGCAATCCATGG